CCCGTCTCGGCCTCCCAAAGTGCTGGGATTACAGGCTTGAGCCACCGCGCCCTTTCTAAATCCAAACCCAAGCCTGTTTCCTGTGCGCACAGTCACCACCCAGTGGATGCCATGGACACTGCGCACCTGTTTTGTCTAACTGGTGTGTGTGTGTGTGTGTGTGTGTGTGTGTGTGTGTGTGTGTGTGTGTGTGTGTGTGTTTAAAAGGTGGGAATTTTTTGTTAAGTTTGAATTTCTGTTCTTTTCTTTTTTAAATGAAACTGTTATAGCTTCCTGGTGGAGTTGTAATTAGGAAATTCTGGGTTAGTCAGCTAGGCAGAATTGAAAAATAACCAGGTGGTGCTGGATGGAGTACTTTTTACCCTCCTTAGAAATTCAGGTTTTGTCAAACTGGGGAGGAGGGAGTTGTGAAGATGGAAAAATGTGTGCAGCTGGGCTGGGTCAGGGAGTGTGTATTCTCTTCTTTATGTAGAACTAGGCGATTAAAAAAATAGTTATCAGGTGGGAGTGCGGGCTCACGCCCATAATCCCAGCACTCAGGAAGGCAAAGGTGGGCGGATCACTTGAGCCCAGGAGTTTGAGATCAGCCTGGGAAACACAGCAAGACCCTGTCTCTACAAAATAAAAATAAAAAATTATCCAGCCATGGTGGTGCATGCCTGTGGTCCCAGCTACTTGGAAGACTGAGGTGGGAGGATCACTTGAGCCCAGGAGGTAGAGGCTACTGTAAGCCATGTTCACGCCACTGCACTCCAGCCTGGGCAACAGGGCAAGACCCTGTCTCAAAAAATAAAATAAAATAGTTATCTTTGTGTAGGATGATCTTCTGCATGTGCAGATATGAGGCAGCCTATGAAAGATGGTGAGGAAACAGGTGAAGAGGAACCCTGGCTGGCGCCCAGGCTTTGGCAGGAAGAGGATGCGAGCCCCAGATGTGGGTTAAGGGCTCTCAAACCAGGTGCATGCAGAGACTCCATTGTCACGTCCCTTCCAGCTTGCACGTACTGATCAGCGACAGTGATGATGACAAGGGCAGTAACAACTGCCCCCATACGTGGGGCATATATGCCAGACTCCGAGACACTCCGTCATTTCTGTGTTACTCTGACAGTCTTCATTTTAATAGTAATATGCTTATTTTAATAAGAATCCAAAACATAGCCCATCTAGCTCATGACTGCCCAGATATTAGAATGGGGCCAAAGTAGGGGTTTAACTTTTTTTAAAATTGAGTCAATTAAATGAAACATACGAATATAAGGATGGGGTATCGTGGATTGGACAGAAATTGTGAAAACAAGACAGAAAGGTCTGAAGTTTGGGAAGGCTTGCCTCATCCATATGAGCAGGTAAAATGATTAACCTCATTTTACAGATCAGGAAACCGAGGCTCAGAAAGGTTGAGTAACTTGCCTTCAGTCACACAGCTGATAGATGGCAGAGCCAGCACCAAGACCCAGGCTTGCCTAACTCCAAAGGCACGACTTGGGGCTGCTGTCCAGATCCACATTCCTACCTTCACTCTCCAGATGAAACCCTCAGTGCTGGGTTAGCTAGCCTTCCTGGGGCTGTCCAGCCCTGGAGAGAGAAGGCTTTCTCACTCCTTTCTGAAGCATGAACAGAGGCAGATCCCACTCTGGGGAGGTAGGGCCCTGGGGCCTGCTTCCTCCAATCTGCTGCGTCTAACTCTCTCAAATAAAAGCCTTTTCAGAAAGGGCCTGGCATGAGGCTGCATGTGACTGACAGGGCTGTGACTGCCAAGGCTTCACTGTGCTTCCTCGCCCCTGCCCCAGTGCCTCCCAGCCCGCGGCAGCCCCCACCTTCCTTTCTTCCCTGGTCTCTCTTAGCTCTTCCTTCCTTCTTTTTTTGTCTCTGAATCATTTTTTCCAATTAGCTGTTGACTGTCTGTTAAATAATTCTCTGAATGATTTCTAAAAGCCTCCTGATCACTGAAACCTCAGAGTTGGAAACACATTTATATTTATGTGGAACTGAGCTTTTAGAACATTATTAAATTTGCATGGGGAGCTAGCAGAGTAGCCACTTCCCCACAATCCAGATCATAAGGAAGCAGCATCTTCAGCAGGATGGAAATAGTTCCACAAGCCGCTCTGCCTGGTTTATTACTCTACTGGGAGAAATCAGCACAGTCTACCTGGGGCTCCGGAGGCAGCATGGACCCAGACAATGTGAGCAAATGCTGTGGCTTAGAAACCACTCAGATGCCTGTGTTTTATAATCGGCCAGCTTCCTAACCTAGGATTCTGGGGCTGCGACCTCAGAAATGAAAGGCAGATTAGGGTGTGTGTGTGTGTGTGCGCGCACACACATGTGCATGCGAGTGTGTCTGTGTCTGTGTCCAAGTGTAGCTGGATGTGTATTTCCTGGGGGTGGCTTAGTGTGTGCATGACTACATGCCTTCTGTCTCTTAAGGAGAGAGGCTGTAGCTTTCGTCCCATCTCAAAAGGGCCACCTATAATCCTAAAACATTTGCACTAATGACCCACTATGTACCAGGCGTGTAAGCTGCTAGCTGAGGCCTCTGAGCAGGATAATTATCATAGAATTTAGAGTTGAGAAAAGAGAAACAAACAGAAAAGGCTGTAGATAGTGGTCAGGCGGTACAGAGAATTTAAATAAATGGGTGGCTTCTCTCAGTCAGAGTGGTACCAGCTGGCCCCTGACTGCAGCTCACCATGGCCAACTGTGTGACATAGTAACAGTTAACCTCTGCTGACTGATCACCATGCTCCAGGCACTGTCTTAAGTGGCTTGTATTCATTCCTTTAATCCTCATAACACCCTGAGAAGTTGGGACTGTTTAAACAGATTAGAATGCTAAGGTTTTGTGAGGTCACACAGAGAGCAAGTGACAGAGTCAAGACTGAATCTGGGGTTACGCACCTCCAAATGCTTTCCTGGGTAAAACACTGGCCTCTCCAGACTTAGTTTTCTCATCTTTAAAATGAGTGAATTCCTATTTGGCGTATCCCTGACAAAAAAAAATTATGTTTTTAAAAATATAAACTTTTACACAAATCGATCTGAAAATCAGCGTTCTGCTCCCACTTGGCTCTGGTGCCCTTGATGGAGCTGAAGTCTGTCTGGGGTGGTTCCTGAGTTTTCTTAGATTCCTTCAGGGCTGCCAGTTGAACCACCAATGTGTGGAGTTTTACTTAAGCCTCATTTTATAAATCAGACCATTTGATTTGTCTCCCACTAACTTGTCAAAGTTCCAGCAAGCAGGTTTTAGTTCCAGAAGCCAGGTGCTTGCCACTGCCAGCCCCCTGAGGTGGGCGTTCTCACCAGCCCATTCCCTGCTGAGCCGCCATAGGCCCATCTCCCAGCCCAGGGCAAGGCCACGTTTCCTCAGACCCCTGAGAGCTCCAAAGTCAACCTGTGTGGCCGGGGTGAATACAGGCAAGCTGATGTGGACAGTGGATACCGGTGAACAATAAAAATAACAGATAGCCATGGCAGTCAAGTAAACAGAGTTGGGCTTATGCTAACAATACAATCGATGGGGTGGGTTTGACCTTTTTTTTGTTTCAAGCCCCACCAAGAATACTAGTGGACCATGTAACATCCCTCAGTCAAAACATGGGCGTGACTTGGATTTGCTTTTGAGGGTCAAAGAGAAGCCTTACAGAAGGGGTGTGGGGGAGCCAGAAGCACAGACTCTGGGGGTCAGAAAGATCTAGACTCAAACCCCAGCTCTGTGCCCTGGACTTCCTTTTGCCTCTGCCTTGCTCTCAGTGATTTCTTCAGGGCATGAAGAGGCTGCAGGAAGGGCTTTCTCTGTTCGCCCTCTAAGCACTTACCACAGAAGCTTGGCATTTTCCCATTATTTTTATGTATATGTGCATGTGTGTGGAGGGAGATTAGGTTTTTTTTAATTTTTTCGTTGCATTCTTTTGTTTTGTTTTGGTGAGTTCTTCATCAAAACCCTGACTTGTGCTTGTTTTATTGTGCTTCTCTTCCCAGTGGAACACAGCTAAATCATTCTGCCCCACGGAGTGGCTCAGTCAGAGTGCCAGATGTGGGTGATTAATAAGCTGTAGTTGCCATCATGTTGAATTGTTACTATTGTCACTCAATGTGCTGAGCACCTGACTGCCCTAACTCATTTAGAATTCAGCCATCTGTGAGGTGCACACTGTCACCATCCCCAATTTACAGATGAAAATACTGAGACCCTAATAAGGCCTGCTCCCAAATGACTGCTCGAAGCCTTACTCCCTTGATATGGAGGTATGGGCAGAACATCCTGGGGCTCTGAACGCCCCCGCCCAAGGGTCCTGCCTGTGGGTCATCCAGCAGCAGCACCTCTGTCCAGTCTCACACTGATGTGAACAGTCTTCTCTGATCTGCAGCTCACAATCTACTTCCAGCCCCACTGTCACCCTCTCCCCACTTGTGTGCCATGTTCAGTTCTCAGGGACCCCAGAACCAGCCCAAGCAGACTAAGGTTCCCTGGGTTCTAGAATCTTGATAGCTCAAACCACTGGCTTCTCCCTGAAGGGTTTCGACACACCCCCCCACCCACTTCCTCCCTAGCCTTTGCTTCCCAGCCAGCCCTACCTCCTTCCCAAGATCTACCAGCTAAGCCACCAGTGACCCTGGAACAGTGAGCTAGCCCCTCCTCTCTGTACCTCAGTTTCCCAGCTTGTGTGATGAGGGAGCATAGACAGCAGCAGTTCTATGGGCCCCTCCAGCTCAGACATTCTCCAGATCCCCATCATCTCTCATCTGACAACTGCAGTGGCCTCCTTGGAGTGCTCCCCGGGGGCCACTCTTCCGAGCCCCCAGCCCCATCTGGCTATACACAGCAGCCAGCATGAGCTTTTGAAACAATATTATTTCGCTCCCTGCCTTTAAAACCCTCCGTGACTTCCTACCACACATAGAATACAAGCCAAACTCCTTCCCATGGCCAACAGTACCCTACATGACTGGGGGTCACGCCCGGGCTGCCCCTCCTCAGAAGGTGCTTTGAACACAGCCAGCCCGCCAGCCCCTGGCTGCTAGGAGCTGCTGCTGTGTTGCTGATACCATCACTGTATGTATTGATTTCTCACCCAACTGGTGCCTTAACTTCATATTTAAGGCTTGCCCTGACATTTCCCTTTTCTTACATGTTCCAAATTATTAAAAACAGCTGCTTTATAATTAATTGAACGAATCACAGAAAAACACTTTTTTTTCTGTCTATAAATAATTCCACCTAAACTCTTCTGGGAGGACAAAATGCTGTGACAAGGAACCAGCACACACTTGGCACCTGCTGTCTCCTCCCCAGCCTGGACTTGAATTCATCTGAGCCATCTCTGGTTCCCTCCCCGGCCTAAAATGGGACCTCCACGCTCAGCCGACGTGGGTTCGGTGGAGAAGGGTCGCAGGAGTCCTGAGCAGCTTTTGACTGCTTGTTCTGCCTGCCTGTGGACTGCTTCCCATGATTTCACCACTGCCTTTTGTATGCCGAGCTCTGTGCCCCGTCCCATGCTGTGGTGGGGTGTGCCAGGGGAAGATATCACTCCTGCCCCAGAGGAATCAGTCTTGTTTTCCAGATGGACACTTGGAGACCCAGGCAACCAAGTGGTGTGATGCAGAGCTCAGGGTGGGGTCACAGGAGAGCCTCGTGTGGAGGCTGGCGGGCAGCCTTCCCACAGCAAGACCCCCACCAGTGAGGCTTGCCACACAAAACAGGTGACCGGCTGCCCCAAGAGTCATCTCTCTGTGTTCCCTGCAAGGGGCTCTGCTGAGGCCAGCATTTTCTGTGTGGACAGACTCTGACATGGGAGAGGCTGGGAAGTACCAAAGCATGAGTTGGCATCTTGGGTGCGCAGTGACTTCACCCTCTGGAGCAGTAGGAACCCCTCGTGACTGTCAGAGTTTGCGGACTTGCACGCTTGACAAAGCATTACAAAGCGTGATGGCTGACAGCGACCTCAGAGATGATCACATCTAAAGGGTGACATGGATGTGTCTTGTGTGCTTGCTATCGTTGACCCCCAGCTCTTGTCCCCGGCAGTCACTGTGTTTCAGTCATGGCACTGAATCTGCCCTCAGAGTTCTCTCGGGATAGCCATTGCCCCAGGCAGCCACTACCAGTTGGTTGCAGTCAGCCCTTAAGTTGAAGCCAGTTTCCCACCTCTGATCTATCCAATGCGACACTCTCATTTTATAGACACTGGCAAGGGAAAGGGCACTGAAAAGCCACAGCAGAACGCCTATCTTGCACCCCAAGTTTTCTAACCTGCTACTTCATTCCTTTTTAGATCTTTCCCTACCAAGCTCTACCAAGTTCATTCACTCGGCAAATGTTTACTGAGCACCTACTGTGTGCCCAGCTTGTTGGTACATCCTGGATACAAGAGGGCGCCTGGCATTAGGAGCCCAGCATTCAGTGGAGAGACCTGTAAACACAGAACACAGAGGCTGGTGGGAGCCACACTCATTGCCACCCTCACGGGGGAGAGCAGAGACCCTGCCGCCCCAGACTTCAGGGAGCCCCCTCCGTCTGCTTTTCCTGATTCTCAGGGCTTTGCCCATGGTACTGAGGGCCTGTGTTCTCTTTAATCCTTCCTGCCATCCCAGGCAGGCAGATTGTAGGTCCCTCTTCAAGCTGGTGCTCTTGAAATACTGTACATCATTTATTCAGCAGGTCCAGGAAGATGCTGTTAATGAAACTTGTTTCTTTATTGTTCAAAATAAGGGATATATTAGATGTGCTGGACTTAACATAACACTTTAACATTGCTGGGAGCTGACTTGCATGGCCATTGTTCCTAACAAGAGAAGACTAGTGCCTCACAGCCCCTGAAAGGACAAGGGCCCATAATTACACAATTAGGCTCAAACATCAGTTTACAACTTTTTTTTTTTTTTTAACGTAGGCAAACTTCACTTTTCTGCCTAGTTCATGTTTTTTCTTCGGTTTTCATTCACAACTTTCCAAACCAGACAACTTCTTAGGAGGAATATTAGAGGGTTTGAAATTTACATAATAAACAAATGCCTCCACCCCAGAAGACAGCCCTGTACCATCCATGACTCAGTTTCAGAGTTTCACCGACCACCCACCTTGGCTGGCTGAGAGCTGGTGGCCTGGCCCATGCCTCCACATGCAGTCTGCACAGGTGGGGTTGTGTTGATACTCAGCTGAATAGGTGGGTGACAAGGAAGGACACTGTCCACCTCCACTGGAGCGCATCAGCACTCATTTCTCCAGTTGCTCTGGAAGCATCCACGACAGGTAGGGTTAGCCGGCACCTTATTCTGCTCCCCCTGTGACACTGCAGCTACCCTCATGGCTAGTATGCCCCACAGCCAGGCTCTCCTGGGTCTCCTGTTGAGGTGAGCAGAGACCTTGAGAACAGGCTCTCGGCCATTTCTCCTGTTTCCTGACCCCACCTTCAGCTCACCCCGCCAGACCTTACCACGACAAGGAGATGGTACCTGGTGCCCATCTCAACGTATAGCCTAGAGTCCATTTATTCCACGAGCAGCATCTTGTAACTGAACACAATAGTCAATGAAGCAGATGTGGGCCCTGTCCTCACAGAGCTTACAATTCCCCTAGGAAGAGAAACAGTCATCAAGGAAACAAACCTGTCTAATTGCAATAAGTGCTGTTAAAGAAAATCATGTTAGGATGAGAAAAACTTGCTTTAGATTGGGAGGTGGGGGTGGTCAGGGAAAGCCTTATCTTGGGGGTTAAAGTGAGACTGGAAAAATAAGAAGGAGCCAATCTGGCAAAGACTCGAGTGCAGGAGGAGCCAGTGCCGAGGCCCTCTAGTGGAGAAGAGGCTGGTGGGTGTGCAAAGCCTCGAAAGGGATAGGTGGAGGGCAGGGGGTGAGGCTCAGGGGAGGAAGGACCTTGACCCCACATAGACTTGTAGATAGAGTTTGGAATGATGGAGAGAGAACCCTAATTCCCAGCCCCAGGCAGAACTCTACCGTGGGGGCTGTATTCATTTCCCAGGGCCGTCATAACAAAGCATAATCGCAGTTCTGAAGGCTGAGAGTCTGAGATCAGGGTGCTGGCAGGGTTGGTTTCTTCTGAGGCCTCTGCTCCTTGGCTTGTAGATGGCCGTTTTCTCCCCCTGTCTTCACATGGCCTTCCCTCTCTGTAGTCTGTGTCTCAATCTCTATAAGGACGCCAGTCCTATTGGATTAGAGCTCATCTAATCATTTTAGCAGAATTACCTTTTTAAAGACCCTGTCTCTAAATATGGTCACATTCTGAGGTCCTGGGGGTTAGAACTTCAACCCATGAGTTTTGGGGGAACACAGTTCAGCTCCTAACAGGGAGCTTCCCTGCCGTCCTCTGAGATGGAGCTTGTGCATCAGCAGATTTTGAATGCTGCAGCAGGCTGAGGAGCCCAGTCCCACTGCTTGCTCCCTGTTCCCTCTTTGTTGAAAGGAATGATTGACAGGTGTTGATGGGCGTCGAAGACAAAAGGGCACCAAGCAGACTTTCTTACTGAAGGTTAGTCAGAAGCCTTCCTCGCATGAGTTAGTGGTGTTAATGCAGGGTCCTAGAATGACCCGGAATCTTCAGCAGCCCACACTCTCGGAAATCCCCTTCATTGTTGCGGCGGAATCTGCAGAGTTTAGGCAGGGAAGTGAGTTCACTGGCCAGGACACAGGAGAGCTGGCCAAATTGACCCTGCCCCTTCAGGGTTTCCTCCCAACCCGTAGCAGAACCCCTTGCCAGAGAGAGGCCCAGAAAGGGTAGTGCTGAATTTAGTGGGGTGGACTTACGACCAGCCGTCCCCAAGACCCCTGAGATCAGTGTTTCTTCAGCCTCCAGGGCTAACCTGCTGAGGGCCAAGGTGCCTGCATACCCGCAGACCAGCCTCCAGTCACTGCCTCCACCTTATGTTAAAGATCAAAATAACTACAAGGCGGGAAATGTCCTAGAGAAACTACCTTGAAATTCAGAAAACATGAAGCCAGGCTTCATCTAATTAAGATGACATTTTAAAAAGGGGGGAGTGGGGGGAGGCTTGGGTGGCATTTTAAATTGCAAGCTGATTGTGCAGCCTCTCTAATTTTGGTTCTGAGCAAAGATTCCAATTGGACCAGAAAACAGGACTTCAAAGGCACTGCCTACTGCTGGCCAAGCAAAGGGAGTGAAAAGGGCAGCGTGGGGCCTCGGGCACAATGTAGCCGGGAACTCTGGGCAAAGGCTGGGGGCCGCGGGGGGCTGCAGCCCTTGGGAGCCTGCTGTGCCTCTGAGGAGATCAGTGGAGCCGCTCCTGGGAGGAGAGCTAATTGAGGTAGCGACTTCTCCTTGGAGGGTGTACTTTGGTCCACCCCGGCCCATCTTGGGGGCAGTCACTGGGCAGAACTCTGGTCTGGTGGTCCCAGGCGTGCCCCCACCCAAGTCTCCCCCTGGAGCTACAGAAACAGGCCTGGTTCTTATGCAAAGCGCCCAGTGCCCTCCAGGAGGTGGCTGCTCCCTTCTGGGGACTTCTTCCTGCCAGCCTCCAAGATTCACCAGGCGGAGAAGGCCAGCTCCCTCCTTCCCAGAATCCTGGGAGGGGCAGCCCCAGTCCCTTTCAGCTTGGAGGGCAGTGGATGGGCCTCCGTGTTGGTAGGGAGATATGGTGGCCAGCTGGCCTGGGAGATGAAACATCGGACCCCAGAGGCTCCTGCATGTCTCTCCTTTTTGTGCACCATGGCTTGTCTCACAAAGCCAGCTTCACTCAGCAGATTTTGTAGTTATTGTTGTTATTACTCATTCTACTGACATGGATCTGGGCACATGCACACACCCCACGATTTAAGTGCTCCACAGTCAGAGAGCCCATTCCCCAGACCCTGGGTTCTCACAGGAGCCCTGGGAGGACAGCATGGCAGGGAGAACACCATTTACAGTCGAGGAAACTGAGTCACAGGGAGTCACATAACTAGCCCAGATCCTCTGAGGCCACACCCTGGCACTTCCCACAAGTGTGGTGACCTTGCTGGAGTCACTGCTTCCCACTTGACATTTCCTGGTGGAGCCACCGTGGTGTGTCTTCCATTCCCTCAGGCCACTGTCTCACTCTCTCTCAGCAGAGGTCTTTCCTCAGCTCCTCCATAGGAAGGATGGTGAGATGAGCGTGAGCTAACAGATGGGAGGAGTCGAAGGAGCTGGTGGGCAAGGGACCTTGGTTCTTCCAT